ACCAGGGATGATCAAATCATTTAGGGATGGGGATACATGATCAAAAAAGTTTGACAACCTCTAGTCTATGGGAATATGCACAGTGTTTTCTAGGAAAGCTGAGTAGCCCTTGTCCACCCTCCAGTACTGCTTTGGCTCCTTCACACTCATTTTCCTGTATTGCTGCACAGTCTGGATATTCCAAACAGCCCCCAGCTCTCTGAACGCGCTCTGCTGTTGTGTGCCCTGAGGCCTTTGCACCTGCCATTTTTCAACTTTGGATTCTCTTCCTTCTGCTTATTGAATCTTTATTCACTTTTGCAAACAGTTTCCTGTACTTGTTGGACAACATGGATCTCTCTCTGTCGGCCGTATTACCCTGTTCTCATAGCTCTGCTATTGCTTTACAAGTTTGTCATCCTTTTCTCTTTTGATCAGCTGAAGGATAGAGCTTTTTCTTATACATTTGTGTATAAATGTTTGTAGAATGAACAAAAGAATGAAGTTAACATATCTAGCCGTCATAGACGACTAGCTGTAGGATTTGCATCCTGAGACTTGTTTGGGTCACCAGGAGGGGTCGCTGTTAGCACTTCCTGTAATGGCCAGTGCCTGGCTGCTGGCTCTTTTTCTGAGCAGTGGGTTCTCTCCCAATATAGCAGAGTCTAATTTGTTGCCTTCTTCCCTCACCCTTTCTCCACCCACTCCCTTGAAAAGGGGACAGAGGCTGAGCCTAAAGGCAGGACAGAGCCTCTGACTTTATGAAGTCAGAGGCCCTTGGGGTGCCCCTGAATTTGTGTGCCAGGGGTACCTCGACAGCCCCCTGGATGAACATGTTGCTGGATGGGCTCACAAATGCTGCTGGAGAAATTGCTGATGCTACCTTGCTGTTTCTTCCAGACCAGAGAGGCTATCCTGGAACAAGCAACAATGTATAAAGAGGCTTTTGAAAATGTCAATGACTGAGAAACTGCAACAGGCAGCTATGAGCAGATTTTGAGGGGCATAAAACCACACCACTCCTGAATGCAGCTGGGCATTCCACTGGCAAGCTGGGCAGAAAAATGCACCAAACTAGGCGAGATCTTTGTATTAACCACAGTGTCAGAGAAGGGAGAATGCACCGCTATTGGACTGTAATTATGAAAGCACTGGTACAAATAAAAAGGAGTATGGAATGTCCCAGTCCCATCCTTTAAGATTGCTGTTAATTTTTTAAACTGTATTTTAATTTAAGGACATTTTTATACCTTAGTAATAAATTAACATTTCAAAAGTACTTTTACCTGCTGAGATGGTTCATTCCACTAATATGGGTAACGCTGTGGACTCGAATAATTAGTGTAAATTGCTTTTGAATAACAGAGCTGGGAACAACTTTAACTTGCTAGGGCTTAATGCCCCTTGCAGTACAGGATGAAGAGTCCTTAATGGGGCCTGGAAAAACAACTAATACCTACAAATCAAAGGAGAAAAGCCGTTTTTGATGCATTTGTCTGAGAGTGTGAGTTTTAAACTAAATTGTTAACACTTCCTCCCCGCTGAGGGTCATGGATTAGCTAGGCTGGGAGATTCTTTGAGAATCTTTCACACTGACCAGGGGAGGCGGGGAGGGGGGGTTCCAAATACAAGTGTTTTCTTAACCTTAATCCCTACCTCCCTGACCAGGACAGCTCTGCATTTCCCTCTAATTAGGTGAAGAATTAGGAGGTGGATAAATGTGTTCAGGGATGAGGATAAAGTGATTAGTTCACTCCAGACCATGATAGTGATTTCTAGGCGCTACTTATTTCCTTTCAAGATAATAACTTTTCTCTTTTTGACAAAAAAGTATTCAAGCAAACCTCAAACATGTATTTATAGGCAATGATAATTATCTTTGGGCAAGTTAGGTACAGGATATTGACAAACTATTTTTACTTTCCTCTGCATCTGTTTAATTTTCATAAGATTTTTATCCCATAGAGGAACATCCAGAGCAGTTTCCAATCTGAACCAAGTATTGTAATTATTTGTGCAATCTGAACAAAATTTAATAATGTAACCCAAAAATGTATTCACATTTAAATGATCCTTTCAGTGAAGGAGGAAAAAGACTTGTTGCTTAGTAGCTGTCTGAGATAAAACCATTTGACACATTTTCTGCATATGAATAGATTCTACTGTGTATGCGTTTTAAAAGGATCTTACAGATATTCCTTACTGACCTGTAATTTTAAATTTCAAGTTGATTAAAAGCAGTTACCAAATCACTTCAAACTTGGTGATATTAGCAAATTTTATCCAGGATAAATAGGCCAGAGCTACCCTGACCTCTAAATCAGTTTCTACACAAAAAAACCCAGACAGGTATCAGAAAGAACATGTTGTCTTTTGCACTCAGACATTGGTTCCAGAATCGCAGGGAAGGTTTTCTCCGCTTTGGCTCTTTTGGCTCATTGTACACTGAACATATTGCTTGCTGGTCTTACCTAGTACAGGTCTATGTGCTATAAACACATAATGAAAATAACCCCAGGAAAAAGAAAAGTGATAACCACAAATAACAAAACATAATGTTCCTCTACCCCCTTTCCGAGGGCGTCTGAAGGCCCAAGGCATTAGTCCCCTTGGTCCTTTTTGAGGGCTGGTGTTTGTGAGTTTCAAAAGACAGTGATCTAATTGTTAAATTTTGGAACAAGTTCTCCCAGTTTCATCCTTCTTGGATATTCATCTCTGACGATTTTAATGAGCCAGAGAGAAACAGAAGGAAAACATGAAATGGGTCTCTAGGCTAAATTGACCAGGATTAGACACTGCCATGTCCAGCCTCTTCCCTCTAGAAGGCATATCACATTATTATTATTGTTATTATTTTAAAAATCAAACTTCTTTTAAGCTGAAGTAAGGTTTCCTTTCCACTCCTACAAATATCATGGCTGTTTTAAGGTTTGATGTCTGCATAATGCCCAATTATGCTATACAAGACAGATCACACTACATTAGCCGGGATTATGTTGCCTCTTGATCTTATCAGCTTTGTTTCCTAAATTACAAAAAGATCTAACACAGTACTGGTTAGCAGTTTGGCTTAGACAATCTCTATCGTCATCCATCACTGTCACCAGTTAGCAGGAGGCATTAGGCACAAAGCTGAGACAGGATGCAGAGCTGACACTCTTCCCAGGCAAACACGCGAATTCCGCATTCACACCAGCTCTTCCTAGGCTTGTCCTTGCTTACTGTGGATGCTTCCTTTCTCTTGCTTATTTTTGGAAAAGGAAACAGATACCAGTAAGTTGTTTGCTTGCTGGGTCTTAAATTCTTTGTAACTACAGAAAGGAGAGGGAGTAAATGCATAAGGAACATTAAAAGATATGTATTCCTGAGCTAAAATGATGTTCATAAAGTCAGAGATCTGAGGGAGAAGACGAAGGCTGGGGGGTTGAATCTGACCATTCCTATCTCCCAGGGCTGACCTGGGTCAAACTCCATGCACACGATGGGAATTCTCAGCGGCAAGGTACAGCCAGTCCAGCAACTTGTATTTAGCATTTTCTTCTCCATCATATGTGGGATTACTCCAAATCTGTCCATGTCTGCCTTAAATTCTGGTTGTTTCAAGTAGCACCAGGAGCTAGCCAGGACATCTGGATTCTAACCCATTCTAAGTCAGAGCAGATAGCGTCTATACTGGGCACTTGTTCTAGTTCAGCAGCCTTGATGGGAAGCCTCACATGGAGACACAAAAGAGCACGAGATTTCAAAACACACTCCATTACCCCATTTGTGGTCAAAATCTGATAGGATCAAGTAATAGGAATCCCAGTGGAGATATCTATGTGTCAAGTAGTAAACTTGATAATTGTAAGAATACATTCAATGCTGCAGGAGAGAATACCCAACCAGAAGATTAACATTTCTGTTATATAATTACAAGTTCAAGGAGTTCAGCCTCTTATCACTTTATGGTGAGCATAGAAAGTAGGAGTGATCCTCTTTAATTTGTAATTATTTAACTGCAATGTGAGGTCCGGCGGCCTTATTCTTACCCTTCTGGGCTGGAAGACATTGGTATGCAGAATCCATGCGAGAAGGCGCAATACACTATCAGAAGAAGACATGTTTGATTATTCTTTAAAACCAACTAAGAGAAGTTAATCTCATTGAACTTCTTTTTATTCAACAAAAGAGTTGGATGTTTCCAAGTCTAATGTGACTATAATGTTCATTAAATGGACTTCTTTACACCTTTAAATGGATTAACTGCACATCTTTACAGTCTAATTATTATACATGTCATTCAAAAAAATCACAGATCTAATTCAGGGGATGATAAAGGCCTTTCTTTTGCGACTCTGGAAAAGACATTGCTGTAAATGGATGTGATTTTTATCAGTGCCATTTTTTAAAAAGGGCACATGTTGCTCCAAGGAGGTGGGAGGGAAAGACAGCACTGGATGTGCTGAATTTTTCTGGCCTGGTGATTTTATTTCAGAGATTTAGGATCTGGCCATGCTGGTGCTTGCTCCTTCCGGGCTCGCTGTGCCAGGTACCTTAGAGGTTCCTCCCGCCTAAGCCTGCCCTGCTAATGACTTCAATCTGTCCAAGACAGCTCTTAGATAAGCGATAAATTATGGACAGCCCCCCTTCAGTCCTAGGCCTTTGGGGATCCTCTGAGTTCTTTTACCCAGACCTTTCTTGAAAATGAAAGACACTCTCTCACCATGCTCCCAGAACATACCAATTCTGTTTTTTACAAATACATTTGCCATTATCTCTCTTTGGCCTTCTCTCTCTCTCTTTCTGCTGGGGGAGCACTAAATTTGGCATGCAGTGGCAGTTCACTGGTGTCCTGAAGATTTCAGAAGCCTTGCTTGGTTCAGGCATGTACAGATGCCCTAGAAGCTATTGAGAGATGTAAAGACATTTCTCTCTTAGGAGAAAGGAATTTTTGAGGGGAGGACCCCAGAAGTCCCCTAAGTAATAATTCAGGCTTTTTCCATTGGAAACTGAAGAAGGCATAGATTTATCTTCATTCATTCATTTCACCGATATTTATTGAGAAGTTATTATAGGTCACATACCACGTGTAGTCAACCAGATGCAGCTCAAAGTTGAGCAGACACAATTCCTACATTCAGGGAGCATTCAGTCTAAGAGACATTAACATAAAACTGTGTAAATTGAAGGAGGCTCTAAGTTTTCCATTGAGGAGGGGCTGAGAGTTGACAGTCTAGTGAGAAGGCGAGTTTAGAGCTTGGAGGCTGTCCTTGCTTGGCAAACTTAAACTATTCTTCCTGATGTTGAAACTACAGGAGGTTACTTTGGAGAGGTGAATGGGGACCTGAGAGAGGAAATGAAACACTCAGCCCCTCTCTGGACACTCCATTGGAGCCAGTCAATGGTCTCCACAATCCCAGTCCTGGCTCCCCCAAGCGAGAGGCTAGACCACAGGCAGGGACATGAGATGCGTCTGTCTTTGGAGTGCCCTCGTGGTGTCATGGAAGGAGTGCACATGGGGCCAGGCAATGCTATATGGAAATGCTAGCACTGCCACTTCCTAGAAATGTGGCCAACAGCAAGTTACTCAACCTCTTTAGCCTCAGTTTCTTCTTCTATAGATGGGGATAATTATATCCATCTTTCCATGTTCTTATGGGAACTTAGGAACACAAATATATAAAGGGACTGGCACAATGCCTATCAAATAGTAGGTGTTCAATCAGTTCTAGGCCCCTTGTCCTTCCCTATCAGTTTCCCTTTCATTGCTGCCTCCCCTCCCCTCCCCACCGTGCCATTCTTAATCCTCAGGAATGTCCAATGAACTCGGACTAAGGTCTTAGTTCATAAACAAAGTGTAACAGCTCAAAGCTTACCTGTACTAGGGGTCTTTGCCTTTTCAAGGCAAATCCTAAAGCACTGAAAATCCCAAGGAGCAGTGCGGTGATGGCCAGTAGGGTCAGTATTTGGCACAAGCGGACATTCTCTTGGCGTGGGCAGCCACAGAACCACATGACTGTAGACTCTCTCAGCCAGAAGCCCCCCTTTCAGGCTCCATGGTCTCACTCTCATCCCGGCACCTGAAACTCCATCTCGAGCCTGCCTAGCATCTGCACTTCCAGCTCCAGATGATGAGCCAGGCCCAGGTGGCTGGGGGTTAGCATGTGCTGTCCCGTCTTCGCCAGCCTTCTGGTTTCCTTCATTCCTGGCATTCCCCAGGGCATGGCAGAAATGGGCAAGGTTACTTTCAGAGATGCCTGTCTTGAGGCAGAAAACTCTTTCATAAATCATTTAAGGTCCATGTTGTACTAACATCAATTATCAGAATTAATTGCTCCTTAAAATGTAAAGAATTGTGCTACAAAGAGTCAACATTAGCTTGGGAACTGTAAGTCTCTTCCTCAAGTCTTCTGAAGGCGCGCAAGTCAGGTACCGGGGTAAAGCAAACAGCAGCTCTTTGTGTGCGAGGTGCTGTGTCCCCATTTCCAAACTAATAAATACTGAATGAGTAAATAATTTTGTTTTCTCTGTGTTATAAAGATTCAGTCGTATTTGGCCAAGTAACTTCAGGGAATATCATTAAATACTTTTCAAATAGTGCTTTCTTTAAGCCATATTCTGCTCCTAGAAAATGTCTACAGACCCACTTAGAAAGCGGAGGTGGAAGGAGGCCTGCATGGGGTGTGGGCTGAGCTATAAAAGGCTCCTCAAGATTGAGACTTGGCACTCTAAAGAGAGAAACTAACAGTTCATTCATTCACTCACCCACTTACTCATTTGTTTTCTTATTAATTCCAAACGGGCTAGGGAGTCTGTGGTGTACGATGGAATATTAAATTAAAAGGAATTAAAATCTTACCCAAACAAATAAATTTTGTAAATAACAAAAAGCCAGAAAAATTTAGTTATAAAGATCTGACTTCAGAATATTTAAGAACACAATATTAATATTTCATTATCTCTGTATGCTGTATACACATAGATACAATATTGATAACAAAATTTGTTAATTATATACAAATAATATGCATGTTACATATGAGATGATGTTAATTCCAAAGGTATTAGCCGTTAATATCCTATAGGAAGACATACATTATTACTTCAAGATTTTTCTCTACCAACACACTCTATGATGATCCTATTTCCATCATAGAGTTATTTGATCTAGGAGATAAAAAGAGAAGAAACTCACTATTTTTTACATTAATTTAATCCTAGGTTTATCAGGTAATAGACAACAAGCCTGTGTCTTGTTTGATTTGCACATATTCAGAGGCCTGACGCCAGCTTCAATGCTTGGGAGGGAAAGAATCTTTGTTCAGGAAGTTACTTATTGGACAATTAACATGTGGAAACTATACCAAACAGAATGTGAAAATGGTAAGTTCACGTTGAATTTCCAAAGGGTCTGGAGGCTCATTCTTCTTGTAGCAAGACCGTGACAACTTTTGCTGATGGAATAAATGGGGTCATTATATTTCACTCTCCAAGTAATTGTCAGAAATGAAGCTTTGTGAATTCTTCCCTAATGGGGCCTCCATCACCCTTCAGTCTTTCGTGTTTAATGGCATTTTGTTTCTGAAAACCTGGGCCTGAGTTTAGCTCTTCCAAATGTTAGGGTCTGTGTCCTGACTCCTCCCTATCTTGCTATGATGAATAGATACATCAGCTGGTTTTCCATCCTCCAACATGTGATTTTATGTGTCCAAAGTGCCTGTGGCAGGTATGTAATGCTATAGTGAAACCAGGTGTTCCACCTTAATTGTTGGCTCATTGGTGGATTTGATGGCTGACACATCCATGGGGAGCAAGGGCTGGACAGTAATTTACTTACCACAGCCTCCCCTGGCTGCCTGCTGAGACCCAGGGCTGAAGCGTGGCTCTGTGCAGGCCATGGTCAGGGACCTGGGGCTTCCAAGACCTTGCTTAGGCCTAAGACAGAATGCCAGTTTCATATCTTTTCTGCCGGCAGTCTGGCTGAATGTGCTCGAGACTTTGGCTCTGAGGCCAAACAGAGAATGCAACTTGGCTCTAAGGTTGTTTGTGTGCCTCATAGGCTCTCGAATGCCCAGCTGTCTCCTGGACGTCTGGTCGATTATTCAAGATGTTTTTTCTACTAAGGTTTTCAACCACTGGCATCATAGATTTGCTTGACCTGTGATATAGGAAGAGTTAAACAACCTCACTGTACTTTATTCTTAGTCTGTCCTAGTATCATTAGGTAATAGACAACATGCTTTTATTTGTACATATTCAGAAAACTGGCACCAGTTTTGGATGATAGGGAGGAAATAGGGTCTTTGTTCAGGCACTTACTCATTAGATAATTAATATGTGGAAACCATACCAAACAGTATGTGATAATAATAAGTTCACATTGAATTTCCAAAGGGCAGAGGCCTACTTGTTGGTTTTCTGACAGATCGAGAAGTTGTGTTGTTTGGTTCGGTGATATTTTTAAATGGCAGACATTCTTCCAGAGCACTGGGTGATCCTCCAGAGTGGCTGAAGCTTGGCAACTGTCAAAGATCCACTAAAGATCTCTTTCTGTGGGCAAAAAAGTGTAGACAGAGTACCAACCAGGTCCACAAGGAAGTGGCTTGATAAAGGATTTTCCTTAGGTTGTGCCTTCTGTAGAGCTCTTATCTAAAACAAGTGGAGGAAAGCCTTGAGTGTGTTTCTCATCTGAGTAACGATGTGGAAGTGCTTCTCAGGGCTTGGGAATGAAGGTGGGAAATAATATTGAGTCCAAGTCCATGCAATCACAGTACCTGGGCCATCTGAACACTTTCCTCACCTAGGGAATTACCATCCTAAACATCTGTATGGATTGAGGCTATAGTATTTCTGGGAAATATAATTTCACACAATTTAGGACTTCTCACAATTTACTTTCTGAAAGGTTCAGATTTGCATTAGTGTTGCAAATTGTAATCCATAATTAAAAGTGGTTGCTACCAATACAGGAAGAATTTCCCATTACTCGTATACCAACAAAATACTTTCTACACCAAGCTGGACCCAGTGAAAGTGCATGCCAAATTGGCATCTAAACATAGTTGAGTCTTGAATTCTCTTGCAAGTGATGGTTCTTTGGAAACATCTCCAAACCTCCCTTCCCTTCCTAGAGCTTGACAAGACACAGGCACATCGGCACCTGAGCGGCTGACCTGAACTGAGCCCTCCCATCTTCATTTAACAGGTTGTGTGATTCTGACCACAGCCCCTAAACTGACACCTGTTGAAATAATATTGGAACCACATTTGTAACTAATTGCAACCAAGATGTCAACTCAATTAATCTGACAATAGAAATACCCGGGAGAAGCTGCTCATGCCCAAGCTGGTGTTCCCAGTCAAGTCCGGGCTTGTTGTCTATTACCTGGCAAGACTAGGACCAAATTAACCCTAAATATAAGGTAATTTAATTAACCTCTCCTATCCCAATAGGCAGGTTCCAGCACCCTGGGTGCCCCAGGCCTTCTAAAGCAGAGGACTGCTGCACCCCTAGATCGGGCTTTTATTACTTTACGTGAGTGATTTGCAACAAAATATCTCCATGAAACTCCTTTGGCCACTTAAGCAAAATTTTAAAATCACCCTTAAAGACATGGCAATAAATTACATAAAATTCCCTCATAGCAAAATATAACTTGTAAGAGTCAATATCCTTCAAGGAATACATGTGCTTCTTGGACAGAGGGGAGAGAGAGAGAGGGTTGCGCAGAGTCAGGGGTGAGCAGAAAGGAGAGAGAATCTGATTTAAAAGGAACAACAACATCAAGAGGACAGTCTGAAAGGCCCCAAAAATAAAGAAGTCACAATAAATGTAAGAAAAAATACACTTTGTGGAACTGTCTCATTATAAAGACATTTCTTAAGCTGATATTTTGAAGGGACACAAAGGCGCCTTTTATTTCTAAATTTCAACAACTCTGGCCCTTTAGTCTCTCATCCTCAGTGAACTGAACATCAACCCATCTAATTATTCTTCCCATTTCCTCCGTTTCCAAGATGAAACCAACACAAAGAACATAAAGCCACAGGTTGTAATCTTTATGATTGCAAACTGAACTATTCAGTCTGCAAAGGTGAAGCAGACGAGTGGAAAAGGCTGGTGGGGAAATGAGACAGCTTATGGCTGTAAATGTTAGCAAGCAGAGTCCTTAACTTATAAATAGATTGCCCCTGGAGGTCCTGGGGAGAACGTAGGCTTTCCTTTTCACAGTCAGGTTTGGGGAGTGGGAGAACTTGCTGAGACCTTGTCCGCGTTCTCCCCTGGGCCTCCTGGTGATGAGAGACGGCACGGGCTGAAGGCTGGCTGGGGCTTGGTTTGTGTGGTTGTGGGACAGAATTTTTCTCCATATGAGGCCAATTAGATTAGACATCAAAATGATAAGGAGGTTGCAGCACATTTTCAAGTGTAGATGAAATAAGTACCTAGGTCAGGAAATACTAGGTCAATAAAAGCCTGCAGACATCATTAAAAGGCAGATCAGCGGGATGGACCAACACCATGAAATGTTTTAATTTGCAGAAGGAAATTAAAACTTTGGGAGAAGCCCGTGGCCAATGGAAGCGCCCACCCTGGGTTCTCTGCTTGGTGACCTTGGATGATCTTGGGTGTTCTGGGTGCCAATTTCCTTGTCTCTTTCATGAGGGCATTGGAGTGCATGACCTAAATTTATCACAATTCCATTTAGTACTTGATAACTCAGCACTGAAGACACCTTAAGCAGCTGCTTCGCAGCCACGACTGCACATTAGAATTACCTAGGGACCTTTTATATTCCCCAATGCCTAGGTTGCGTCTGGACCAATCCAGTCAAGATCCCTGAGGGTGATCCCAATATTGCCAAGATTGAGGACCACCGAGCTCTTGTTCTCCCTAATAAATAGGAATCAGGGCCACCTAAACATTTCCCTGTCATCCTTGAGAAGATGGGAAGGGATCAAAGGTGTTGCTCAATCTCACACTCCATTTCCTGGCAAACAGCTCAGGACGCATTTAAATCAGTGATGGGTAACAAGTAGAGACAACAACATCACAAGGTCCTGCAGCTGCCCCCACCCCTCCCTGCTTGCTGGTGGACAGACCAGGAGAAAGCTGCGTGGGGCCCTCCCAAGCTGCTGTGTAAGGCATGGGTCATTGTGGAGCACCTACAGCTGACTGCTTCTTTGGTGCTCCCAGCCTGCACTGAGGAACAAGCAGTGCTACCAACCATGTGCCCTCTGCAAAGCAACTATCATAGTGTACATTGGCTCTGGAGCTCTCTCCAGGGGAATAGGGATAGGGGAGAAAACTGAGACCCATAAAAAAATAGTCAGTGTGAAAAGTGGAGGAGCTCTTCTAGAAAACTGCAGTGGGTTGAAGAGTGTCCTCCCCCAAATTCATGTTTTTCCCAAAATCTCAGAATGTGATCTTATTTGGAAATAGTGTCATTGCAGAGGTAATTAGTTAAAGTCAACTCATACTGGAGTTGGGTGGGTCTTTTTTTTTTTTTTTTTCCAGATGGAGTCTTGCTCTGTTGCCCAGGCTGGAATACAGTAGCATGATCTCGGCTCACCTCTGCCTCCCAGGTTGGAGAAATTCTCCTGCCTCAGCCTTCCAAGTAGCTGGGATTACAGGTGCATGCCACCACATCTGGCTAATTTTTGTATTTTTAGTAGAGATGACGTTTCACAACGTTGGCCAGGCTGGTCTCGAACTCCTGATCTCAAGTGATCTGCCCACCTCAGCCTCCCAAAGTGCTGGGATTACAGGTGTGAGCCACCATGCCCCGCCAAGGGTGGGTCTTATAAGAAGAGTTACACAGACGCACAGGGACAACGCCGTGTGTATTAGTCTGCTAGAGTGACTGCAACAAAACACCACAGACTGGGTGTCATGAGAAACAGAGATACATTTCCTCACCGTTCTGAGGGCTAGAAGTCTCAAATCAAGGTGTTGGCAAGTTTGGTTTCTCCCGAGGCCTCTCTCCTTGGCTTGCAGATGGCTGGCTTCTCACTGTGTCCTCCTATGGTCACTTTCTGTCTGTTGTCTGTGTCCTAATCACTTCCTACAAGGACGCCAGTCATACGGGATTAGGGTTCACCCTAACAACCCCATTATAAGCTAATTACCTCTTTAAAGGCCCTATCTCCAAATGCAGTCACATTCTGAGGTATTAGGGTTTAGGACTTCAACATATGAACTGGGGACTGGGACACAGTCAGCCCACAGCACCATGTGACGATGAAGGCAGAGATTGGAGTGATGTGCCTGCAAGCCAAGCCTGCGCTTGTGATCCTCTGACTCTCTGAAATCTGTCTCTGCAGCTCCAGCAGCTGTCTGGCAGGGACAATCAGACAAGTGCTGGTTCATTCATTCATTCAAGTTACAGGTCGAATGAATGAATGAATAAATTTAAACCGTAAGTGATTTAAACCGGAAAGCAGATCTCACGAGGCAATTTTGCACTCAGCCTTCACTCCTCCAGGTAGCTGCAAATCATGAGAAAATATAAGTGTGTGCACAGTCCAGTGCCTGTCTGACAACCCCGCTCGTAGGAGGACTGGGTTTAAGGAAGATTTGAAAATATAGGAGAAGGGAGAGAAGGAGCCGTGTGAAGCAAGGGGGCCACAGAGTGCAGAGCTGCATGTTAGGTCAGCGAACAGCAGGCAGCCTTTGTCCCTGGTGGGAAGCACTCAGCAAGGGACTAGTGGCAGGGAGCCGCTGAGAGGTGCCTGCCTTTTAAAGGGAAAATGTAATTTGTAAACAATCAACATCGTAACAAGCTATAAGCAATCAGCCCTGACTTCTAGCAGATTTACTGATGCTCGAGTGACTAAAACTCACAATGTTTTTCCCAGCCAACTTTGTTAATTTGTGGCCCGTGTTCATTAGGTCAAGTTCCTGGGGTTGGTTTCCCTCTCCGCTGCTTCCAACGTAATGACGCCAAGCTAGGGACCCAATCACTTCTCCATCCAGAACGGGTGCGGGCCCAGGGCAGCCCAACCCTGCCTTTCTCCCTTCTTCACCGTGTTACAGGCTGGCCTCATAACTAATAGGATAGGATATGTTTGTTTTGTTTGAAAATTCTAGCGTTTCAAAAATCACCCATCATTTATCACTCATCTGAGATGAGCAATTGTGGGTCGATGCTGCCTGGATGCTTTTCCTCCAAACCCCTCCTCTCTTTACCTCCTCCCACCTCCCACCCCTCTGGGGAAATCAAGAAAAACAAGATTCTACTTGTCCAGGCCCTCCGAGACTCCCGGGAATTGCTGGAATCGTCACAATAAGTGGCAGTAGTAGAACCATATACAGGATTGTAAATACAAACTGCTCTATGGAGTGGCAAAAAATAATGAAGTAATTAGGTGAACTATTATCAGCACCTGTGACTGATGGGTACAAGCACGTTTCTGGCTTTAGTATATTGTTATTTGTCAGGAACAATGCGAAGATTCTGAAGTTGCCTAACTTACTGTCCTACGTCCAGCTTCCCTCTCCCGAGAGCCCCAGTCACCCCAGGTGGGTCGATGCCCAAGTCCAGCCTGCGGAAATGCGCACTGGGGAAATGAGAGTCCTGCTTTGCAATCCATTATGGGTAATACCATTTTAATTAGCAATTTATGTGAGCCTAAGAGGTGCTACTTCATGTGCTATTTCTAGATTAACCATGGGGCCCACGGACAGGCAGACCAAGCCATGAGCCCACGTCGATGTGAGACAATTGAGGAGATGGGGACTTGCAAAATAACTCAGAGTTGATTCTCAATACAAATGGCCATTCAGACGCTCAGCCTGCATTCTTGTACAGCAGACGGCCCTGTCTTCTCCTTGAGATTTCTGAAGTGCCCACTTGCCAGAAATCATGGTAATTTGATGACGATAATAATAGTTAGCACACATTGCATCACTGTGCACCAGGCCCTGCTTGAAACACGGCATTTGTACTTCCTCATTCATTCCTCACAACAACCCAGTGAGATAGATACTGTCATCATCCCCAGTCAACAGATGGGGAAACCGAGGCACCAAAGTTAAGTGACTGGTCCTACGTCATGGAGCCAGGTTTCCAACCCAGGCAATTTGGTGTCAAACTGTACCTCTTCATCTTCTGTTCACTGCCCCTGCTTGGTGGGTGCCCTCCAGAGCTGCGGAGGGCATGTTGACAGCGTAGCTGGAACAGGCTGAGCACCAAGGAGGGAAGTGAAGAGGTAGAAAAAGCGTTGTGCTAAAAAACAAGGCCAGAAGGCAGCCTCTCAAGGCTTACCCTTGGACTTGGGAGGATCCAACACTTTCCTGGAGCAGGGACAGGCAGGGACCCAGGGACAACGGTTCTGTATACAGAGGTACAGATCACAGGTCCCATCATTCTCTAGAGAAATGCATGACATGGACAGGGTAACTCCATGTGCTGACACACACACACACACACACACACACACACACACACACACACACAAGCTTCTTCTAAGCTTCCTTCCATCTAAAACCTCCCCCGGCCCACACACATCGGCTGGTTCCTGAAGGATTTGGTTTTTAAACCAAAAGAGTTGGTTGCATTGCTAGCCAGGTGATTATGTTTTGCAAGTTATGCTTCCTCCAGCAGCCTGAGTTTTTACTTCCACCATCCAGTCAATATTTCCAACTTTGCTGGATGACGGAAGACAAGTTACCCACCCCCTGGGACCTTGAGTTTCTCATCTGTAAAATGGAAGTAATGGCCCCACCTGTGAGGATTAAATGAGTTAATAAATGTTAACTGCTAATTATTATTATTTTAAACAAAGGAGGAGTATCTGAGAAGCTAAGGATGCTTAAGCTTTAGGGCCCTGTCTTGCAAGTTCCCTCCCTCAAGGCTCTGTATTCCGTATCAATAATTTTGTCTTTTTTTTTGAAAAGAAGTCTCGCTCTGTAATCAGGCTGGAGTGCAGTGGTGCGATCTCGGCTCACTGCAACCTCTACCTCCCAGGTTCAAACGATTCTCCTGCCTCAGCCTCCCAAGTAGCTGGGACTACAGGTGCATGCCACTATTCCCAGCTAATTTTTAAATTTTTAGTAGAGACGAGGTTTCACCAGTTGGCCAGGATGGTCTCCATATCTTGACCTTGTGATCCACCCGCCTCGTCCTTCAAAAGTGCTGGGATTATAGGTGTAGCCACTGCGTCCGGCCCCGTCTTCTTTTTCTTAAAGAGAGCACTGTTCCCCCCTACCCCCGTGCCCACCACCCCTAGGATTGTATAAGCTTCAGGCTCCTCAAACCTGGGTCTACCCCATGGGGATTAAGGCAAGGAAGCACGTGGCTGGGCTAAATCGCTATAGCTCTGCCTAGCTCAAACACGCAGAACTTCTAGATAGTAGATCTGAAAACACATGTGAAGGACTCTGCTTTGTGAACAGGGGCACAAACTTCTTTCTAAGAAGACGAGAAGCCATAGAAGACAGCATTTGCTAGACACATTATAGGGTGACCAACTTGTCCCCCTTTGTCTGGGACTATACGAGTTTAAAAGCTGAAAGCACCACGTCTCGAAAATCTCTTCCGTTCTGGGCAAGCTGGGTCAGTTTATCACCTTCCTTGTTGAGAAGCATGTCAGTGCTACTCACCACAGGGCTCCCAGTTAGTCGAGTGCTTGGCATGTGGTAGGTGCCCAGTAAATATTTGTTGAATGAATGGAGTGTAAACCAACCATTGGTACCTCAAGGGCTCAGAGGAGGATGAGTGCACAATGATCTAAGGTGAACAGGTAGATTTCAGGGAAATTCCGCATGAAAAAATAAGCCTGTGATGGCGAGATTGGATCACAAAACGACCATTTTTGAAAGGAAGGTTGTGGAATGTGATGAGGGGAATCCCCTAAATGCAGGGTGCTGCTTAGACCTCAGGACCGTTTCTGCTTACTTTCGTGTACCTGATAACAAACAGTATGTCTTCCATTAGAGTTTCCACATCATCATTTTCCCCGCTTGGAAACAATGCTGAGTGCAAGGCAGAACCTTGAATACAAGCTGAATCCGGTGTGTGTGTGTTTGGTGGGGGCAAGGGGGAGGATAAATAGTGCCCCAGGCAGGTCGGCAGTGGGCTTTGGGCATGCGGTGAGCTGCTCAGGCCCCAATTCCACAGGCTGTGTAGACTCCAATTACCCAAGGACTTAGAGATCAAACAGCCCAACTGTGCCTCACAATAAAGGAGGAGGTCTTAATTTTATTCCGCGCTACACCCTTCCAGCCAGATCGTGCAAAACAAGGCCTTGTATTTATGTCTTCCTGAGCCCCAAGCCTCTCTGAAATTGTCTCAGGTTATCCCAGCAACATCGCTACAAAGTGGACAGAGGAGGAAGTTAGATAGTCTAAAGAATCATGCGATTTCTGCTGGACTGGTCAGAATATCACGGCAACCACAGATGTCTTTATCAAAATCTCACCCTCCTGCTTTGTTGAGGACAGAGCACTTTTACATGTTATGTATTGTTATTTTTAGGTAAATTTTTAGTGGTGGCATGTTGGCTTGTGGGGAAAATAGTTTGCATTGGTCCTCAGCTAGCCTTCGCATATGCGCAGGGAACTCTATACACAGAAAACAAGAAAGCCCGGACAACGCCGATGGCTAGAGACTGGGACTTTGCAAATTTTCTTTTTCCCCACTCACATAGTACAAACAGAATTTGTAGTAAGGCACCATGCTGCCCAAATTAGTCTGATTTCCTTTTTAACTATAACGATAGCTAATAGGTAAATATTCTAGAAAACGTAGTCATTTTGAACATTTGAGATTAAGGAAAGCAGAAAGATTTGGAATATTCTTTTTGTGTAGACATCAACTATAGGCAACGACAGAGGCCCAAGTCTGTAAATCTGGTTTATTTTTACATATGCGCATTAAAAAAACCCGTCTTGCTTTCAGACAATGGGTTTTTAAAATTTGAGAATAGTGCATCAAAATGATGAAAAATTTTAGGATTGTTTGATTTGTCACTTAACCCACAGAAAACCAAATTCTTCATCTTGCTACTTGTTTATAGCCTTTTATAAAAATGAACGCTTCAGAAACCTTAAATTGACAAATGCTTCTCTTAAAATAAATCACTCTTTGATGAAGAGAGTGGAAAATAAATGTTTGAGAGGTAGCTGAAGCTCCATCACAATTTAGGAATCAGGATTGTAGTTCAAAAGGCAAAAACGGATATCTTTTGAGGTTGAGCATTTTATACTGAATGCATATATTTATAATGGAAATTAACCTTAAGACGAAGAGGAAATGATCTTATAGGATTTTCTATTTTGGAACTAATAAGCAATATCATTTCTTATTTGATGTTCTTAATAAGCAGTTAACATGACTTGAAAGCAACATTTTTCAAGTACTGTATACATGCTACCATGGAAAACCAGAAAGGAAAAATGTTCCTGTCTGTGAGATTCCTAAACAATTTATCTTAATTTGAGTTGTTTACTCTCAAATACTGAATGTTCTTCCTGCTGTTCTGCGTAGTCCCACATTATGTATTTAATGATTTTTGTGAAATTTACAACCAAGTGACTTATCTCGCTTTGAATTGTCTGGAAGATACTTAATCCAAAAAAACTCTTAGAGTTCTCATTCTATTAAGAACTAATTAAACTTACAAGAATAAACTTGGAGATATTTATTTTTTCCACTACTACTGTTGGATGCATTAATTCTTTTTATTATAGTAGCCCCAGGTTAGAAAGCTAAAAATCAAAATGGTTGATAATTGTGAAATATGATATTTTAATTCATGGCAAAATATCACGATTATTTATATGTGTAAGAATTAAGATGTCTTAGGAGCTAGCAGAGTGAGCTGGATAAAATGCGGCACCTGCCACAGAATCTTTGGGCATTTCAGTAATGCCAGGCAAGTCCTTGGGGTTGTAGAAGTCACGGCCAGGTCATGGATTTCTACACACAGCGATGGTTTCTGCGGGACAAAAAGCAGTGAATATCGTGCTACTTACCTTGCTTTATACCACAACTGTTGCAGGCAAGGATGTCTCCCATGGCGTCTTGGTTACTTACCTGCTTCCCAAAAGAAATGTTTTCCCTGACCAGTTACTTCTTGGTTGTTCCTTAAGACACAGGAATTTTGCAAAAGACCGTGGCATGCTTTCCTCAGTGGTTCCTCT